CCTCCTCCTCCTCCTCCCCTCCTCCTCCTCCTCCTCCCCTCCTCCTCCTCCTCCTCCTCCTCCTCTCCTCCTCCTCCTCCTATCCTTATTCCTTATTAGAATATACTCCTACCCCCCCCTCAGGCCGGCCGATAGGGGCCGCATCCGGGTGGTCCCATCCTAACCTGTAAAAAACAATACAAAATCAACATTTTTCTTATTTGTTCCTCTCGACATGGACGTCCTGTCGTCCACGGCGATAATCCATTGCAAAAAATACCACAAAGAGCACACGCGCGCGTTCATGTCAGAATCCTACCGAACACCGTGTGTTTGCAAGCATTTCAACATAAAAACATCAAAAACCCAATGCTTTTTCACAAAAATTCTACAAATTTCCTGCCCGGGCTCTCTTGCTGAAATCATAGGAAAACCATAGGAATCTTAAGAATTCGGTCAAATCCAGCGATTTCACGTCATCGCGCGGTGCACTCGCGATGCTCTGTCATGCACCCAGGCCGCGAATCCTGTGCAAAAAATACCACGCGGGCGACATGCGCGCGCGTCGCCGCGAGCGCATGCTCAAATCCTTCTAGAGTCGTCGCCGTCATTGGCACCGTCGCATGGACGTCCTGTCGTCCACGTCGCAAAATGCATAGCAGGAATGGGACGCGGCGCACACCCCGCGCCCGCCCATCCAATCCGTCCCATTCTAATCTGCAAAAGACAATACACAGTTTTTGTTTTTCTTGTCAACATGGTCGTGCTGTCGTCACGTCGCAAAATGCGTGGCAGGAATGGGACGCGGTGCACACCCCGCGCGAAGGGGTGACATGTCGCTCTCGCCTCGGCGCCGCGCACCAACGTTTTTCCTCTCAGCATGGACGTCCTGTCGTCCACGTCGCAAAATGCTTGGCAGGAATGGGATGCGGCGCACACCCCGCGCCCGCCCATCCAAACCCCCCCTTTATAAAAAAACAGTACAAGTTGGGGCCTTCAGGCTTCCTGCGGTGTACCGGGCCATTCTCGACTCGTCTGGCAATGCGTGCGCGGCATTCAACACGCGCTCGCCAGTTCCCGTCGGCAACCGCCATCGCGGCCGCATCAGCTGTACCAAACCGGCTGGCCGGTGTGACTTCGGCCCCCAGTTGTGCCAGCTTTGCTTCTTATGTTGTGGGAGGGCGGGTGGGACTGGGCATGCCATGCTTGACTCGCTCGAGCTGGCTAGCTTGACTCCTACTCCTACTCCTCCTCCTCCTCCTCCTCCTCCTCCTCCTCCTCCTCCTCCTCCTACTCCTACTCCTCCTCCTCCTCCTCCTCCTCGTCTCCTCCTCCTGCTCCAACTCCTCCTCCTCCTCCTCCTCCTCCTCCTCATCATCATCTCACCACCACCACCACCACCACCACCACCATCATCATCATCATCATCATCATCATCATCATCATCATCATCATCATCATCATCATCCTCTTCGTCCTCCTCCTCCTCGTCCTCCTCCTCCTATTCCTCCTCCTCCTCCTCTTCCTCCTCCTCCTCCTGTTCCTCCTCCTCCTCTTCCTCCTCCTCCGATCCTCCCGCATCATTTTGACTGGAACCCCCCCCCCGTCCTTCCTCCTGCATCTTTCCCAAGTCCCTCCTTCCTACTCAGCTATCCTCAAAATCTCCCCCTCCCCCTCCCCCTCCTTGTCCTCCTCCTCCTCCTCCTCCTCCTCCTCCTCCTTCTCCTCTTGTTCCTCATCCTCTTCCTCTTCTTCCTCCTCATCCTCCTCTTCCTCTTCCTCCTCCTCATCCTCCTTTTCCTCCTCCTCCTTCTCCTCTTCCTTGTCCTTAAAAGTAACGCTTCCCTGTCGCGCCCCGAGTCTAGTCGCAAGGGCGGGCCGGGCGATCACGAAGCGGAAAAAGGGCCATAGCTTCATAGATGGAGGGCGGGTCTTCTAAACTGCAGCTATCGCCTTAGCACCGCGCGCATTCGCCTCACAAACTTGCAAGAGTTTCGCAAAATGAAGGCGGAACCTTTTCAAAACATGGTTCCCGCCTTAGCACCGCGCACATTCGTTTTCAACATGTGCAGAAATATCACGGGTTTCCACTGCTAACGTACCAGAAATGGTGTTCCGGAACAACTCGGGATTGCCAAGGCGCAATAATTATGTTGATTCGCGGCGCTGAATTCCTAGAAATGGCGTTCTGGTGCGATTCAAGATCGTCAAGACGCAACAATCAGGTTGACGAGAAGTCCCGAGAATGGTGCTTTGGCACGCTTCAGGATCTTCTAATGGTTGTCTCCTAACGGGGAACTTCCCTCGGTGAAAATGAACACTTGCAGGGGCCTGTGCAGAGGGAACTTGGAAGAAGGGGTTATCCCAACATCGTCGATGAGCCTTGGATTTGCACTGGTCCTCCTCCTCCACCTCCCCCTCCTCCTCCTCCTCCTCCTCCTCCTCCTCCTCCTCCTCGTCTACCGCCTCATTACCCTATTCCTCCTCCTCCTCCTCCTTCCCCTCCTCCTCCCCCTCCTCCTCCTCATCATCCTCTTCATCTTCCTCTTCCTCTCCCTCCCCCTCCTGCAACCATGAAAGGAATCGGGACACTACATGCGCGCACGCCCACCCTCTCTGAACGCCGAAAGCTCCATGACGGACTGGTAGAGCAGCGCCACGACGATGGCGGGCAGCTTCATCACGCCCCGGAGCGCCGCTTGGCCAGCCGCCGCGCCCGCCAGCTCAGCCCGCCGCCGCCTTGCGGAGGGCAGCTGCGCTGGCCGCCCAGTTTCCCCCGAGGCTTGCGCGCAGCTGTCAGGCCGTCGCGCCGTGCAAGGCGACCAACAACTCGGACCCCCAGCGCTGCGCCAGGGCGCTGGCCACCGCCGCGCTGCCTTCCTCCTCCCCAAGCTCCTGGGCGAGGTCCCGCACCAGACAGCGGCTCTGCCATGCCGGCCCCCTGTCTCGATGGGCTGGAGGGAGGACGGACCGCGGCGCGCGCCTGGCCGGGCAGCGGCGCCGCTCACCAGGCTTCAGCCTCAGCGTTAACGGCGCCGTCCCTTTGGGCCTCTGCCGCGAGGTGCTCGGCTTCGCCCGGCACGGCGTACCGAACGGTGACGTCCGGGAAGAGGCGCGGGCATCCAGGCGCCTGCGCCTCGAAGTCCACGACGGCCTCCTCACGCTCGATCTGCAGGGGCGCCCCACATCTGTTGCACGGCCCCGCTGGCGGGTCGAGCGTCGTGTCTGGCATGTTGCAGGGGGTGCAGCGCCATTTCCACCAGTCCCACGCGGGAACGGGAACTCGGCGCGCGGTGTGGTAGCCGCACTCCCTGCACATCTTCCACGGCCCGGCTGCGCGCCACCACGCCGCCTCCGCATGCGCACCAGTAAGCGTGGCGCGCTTAGGAGAAGAGAGGCTCCCCGAACTGCTGGCCAGCTCGCAGGCCCGTGCGAATGCGATTATGGCAGCGCGCAGTGGCGCAGTACTATGCGTCGCCGAGTCTTTGGCCCGCGGCCCCTGGAGAAGCCAGCTGCCAGCTGGCCGCGTGCAAGCCGCCGCAAGAGCTCAAGCTCGCCCGTTCTTCGAGGCTGGACACGCTCCGCAAGGCTGTTTTCTGTGTAGCCGTTGCGTGAGCAGCTTCTGTAGCTCAACTTCTTGCGAAGTTCGGCGGCGAGGTCGCGCTAAGGCCTCCGATCCTCCTCCTCCTCCTCCTCCTCGTCTTCCTCCTCCTCATCCTCCACATCCTACTCCTCCTCATCCTCATCCTCATCCTCCTCCTCCTCCTCTTCCTCTTCCTCCCCCCTCCTCCTCCTCCTCCTCCTCCTCCTTTTCCACCTCGTCCTCGTCCTCGTCCTCGTCCTCCTCCTCCAACTCCCCTGCCCCCTCCTCTTCCTCCTCCTCTTCCTCCTCCTCCTCCTCTTCTTATGTTCATCCCCCTTCTTGTTTTATAGTACTTGTTAGTACTAGTATTGATACTGCTATTAGTAGTCGCATTGGTATCAGTGTTATCTGAAGTATCCGAACTATGATTTTGTTCGCATTGTTGGCACGAGTAATAATATTGGTAGTCGTATTACTGTTACTAGTATGACTAGTACGAATAGTACGAATACGAATGGCAGTGATTACGTTAGTAGTACTCGTATTACTATACTTATGAAATTCAGAATTATTACTAGTCGTAGTAGTAATAGTAATAGTATCGGTGCTACTTTTTCATAATAGTATTACTACTACTATTGAAATTCGTAGTAGTCTTAATATGTGTCTTAGCGGTGTGAATATTAGTAAAGATAATATTATGGATACACGAATTACTACTACTACTACTACTACTACTACTACTACTAGTAGTAGTAGTAGTAGTAGTAGTAGTAGTGGTAGTAGTACTAATAGCAGTAGTAGTATTAGTGTTTTTCGTATTGGTAGTAGTGATACTCGTAATACTACGACTGTCTTCAAATTAATACGACTAGTCTTACTGGTAGTTCGCGTGTTACACACTGTGATAGGCATTCGCACTCAAATTTTTGTTCGCATAATAATTAAATACTTCTAGTGACGAAAAGTATTCGCAATGCCATGTGTATTATTCAAGTGAGATAATAATCGTAGCATGTGTCGCCTCACACTTCTTGTTGTGATTGATAGTTGTCGTAATAGTAGTAATGTTTGTTATGATTATCCTTACTCGTCTTGTTCTTCTGCGTCGAATTAGTGTTCGTAGTATTCGTAGTACTAGTATTATTAATCATATGTTTCGTAGTACTATGACTAAGATTCATCTCATTCGTCTGCTTATTAGTAGAACTACTGTGGCAAATATGATTCGTAATTTTGATAAACATTATTCGCATCACCAAAATTATTCTTAGTATTAGCATCAGTACTATGACTGACATTCCTATCGTTACCATTATTCATATGTGTGTGATTATTCATACTTTCTTCGTATAAAGATTGCTGTTATTATTATGCGCCGCTTTCCCCCTCCCTTCATCCTTTCTCCCCAGGGCGGGGAGGCGGGGCCCCGGGTCTCCTCCGAGCAGACCGCCGCGTCTCGGTTCGCGCGGGAGCCGCGGGCAAGGTCCTTACGCCTGCTCGGGGGCACCGGGGCGGGGCACGGCAGCAGGAGGAGGAGAAAAAGGAAGAGGAAGGGGGAAATCCAGGAGGCGGGGGAGGAGCAGCAGTTTCAGGTAGAGAAGCCAGAGGGCGCAATCAGGAGATTTGGGGATGGAGGGGGATAATGAAGGAAGGAACAGAAGGGAAGGAGGAGGAGGAGCAGCAGCAGCAGGAGGGAGAGAGGGAGCAAGAAAGGGAAAGAGAGGGAGGGCGAGAAAGGGAGGGAGGGAAGAGGGGGCGGAGGAGGAACAGGAGGCGCTGAACAGGAGGAGCAGGAGAAAGGAGGGAGGACGGGGGAAGATGGGAAAAGGAGGGAGGAGAAGAGAGGGCGGATAACGGAGGAGGGAGGACGGATTGTAGAAGTAGGAAAGATTCCAACGATGGCGCAAGAGAAATAGGAAAGAAAGGAAGAAACGGGAAGGAACCCGACGAAGAGCGTGGGGCGCGAGCAGGGAAGGGGAGGAGAAGGGAGGACGGAGGAGACGTAGGATGGGGGAGTCCAGAGCGCGCAGGGCGCTGGTCACCGCACTACGCCCCTCCACCGCCGGAGCCGCCCTCCTCGAGCCAGTCAAGGGCGAGCTCGGAAAGTACTTGGTCGTCGAAGTTCTCGCGGTTTTTGTTGTAGTGGGAGACGCCGTCATGGATGTCCGACGGCGCGCCATATCCAATATCCATGCGGGAGTGTCCCATGCACACAGGCCCAGGGCTCCCCAGTGCCTGGCAGTGGTGGAAATTCGGAACAGGGGCTGCGTTGACGGCGAACCTCGCCAACCCCTCCGCATCAGGACAATGGTCTGGGAAGGAAAATTCCTCTGCCATACTTGGACCATCACCTCCCACGTGCGGCAGATGCAAGCGAGGCTCGCTGCCAGGATCGCCAGTCTCAAAAATGCCGCAAAACAGCGACAATGATCCTGGGAGTCCATCTCAAGGATTTTGCATCCGGTCCTAGCGCCAGGCACCCACATACGAGGCGACGTTGAACCTGGGAGGCCATCCCCAGGAATTCGCTACTTTTAACCTCATCCAGCGGTGGCGACGCCGAACCTGGCACGCCAGGACTTTGCGCGGGATGCTGAACCGCATCATCAGGGGGGAGCTCGTGGACAGGACCACCCACCGTGACTTGGAAGCCATGAGAACCGAGGGAAACTATGAAGTCGCTGTCGCCCGAGGAGCCGTTTCCATTACCATGATTGGGAAAAGGCTGAACATCAGGCGGCCACATCCTCCGCCTCCGCATGAAGACATCAGGCGCGCGAACTGCGCGGCGCGCCCGAGACGCGGCAGAGGCGCAGTAGGTAGCACGACATGCGCGGGAGCAGAATCGCTGGCGCAAGCTGCCGGCCATGAGGCGGTTGAAGCCGATCAACCCAGAGGGCGCGAGAGATCCAAGCCGGCCGCGCCATCCCCGAGGCACCGACCCACTGCAGCATCTTAAGCGTTCAACCTCGCCGTCTGGTCCCCCATCTCGCCCATGGCCTGGATGGCCGCCTCGGCTGGCGAAGGGTGACTTGGGGGTGCCGTGCCACATTGTAATCCCACGACGAGTTGGGCCCATCGGCCGCTTCAGCAGGAGAACATATGTCGAGGTCGCCATCGCTGCCGCCCTGCGCGCGCAGATGGAAGCGCAAGAGCGGGTCGCTCCTAGGGGGCAACTTCGCCCACCATCGCGGATGCACGGCGCGGTCAGGATGTCAGGCAAAGAGGTACCGTTGCCCTGGGCCCTCGTTCAGGCAGCGAAGGGTCGATCCCAGTCACGCCCAGGCCGGGGATGAGCAAGAACACATTGAAGCGAATGCCATCTTAGCTGGGCGCCGGCCCAAGCGTGCTGGCAAAGTTACTCCGCCATGTCCTTGCGCTGGGCGAACGCAGCACGAGCGCGCGGAGAACCTGGGGCAAGAGATCTCTGAGTTGAGGATACCCTCAACGTAATCGACGCACCACACCGTCCAGCTAGCTCGGCACCCCACTGGTAGGATGTCGTAGATCGACGGGAGCCACGGCGCTGCCAAACCCTTTGCACGGCTGGCAACGTGTCTCATCTCCTTCGAATCGACGACGCAGCGGACAGACCCTGGACGCAAGCTTCATGCTTAATGCAAATAGACGGACCAGCAAAAAGAGCACAAGAAGATCACGATGGAGCCACACAAAAAGATCACGATAGAGCCGCCCGCGTCAAGTCCGCCCGGCTAAGGCGAAACGCGCCGCGTGGTTCGAAGTGACCCTGATCCTTGTTGCTGTCAGAACTGGACGGCACGTCCTTGCTCCGACCTTGCAGACGTGTTGCAGCGGATGTTTGCATGGATTTCTGTCACTGCAAAACTCCGAGACGGCGAGCGAAAAACGAAATGAATTTCGCGTGGATGTTTTGTGATCTTGATTCCTGGCCAGAAAAAATCCACACAAAATTAACCTCGGAATCCAGAACGAAATTCCCGAGGAAAATCCAGGCCCATCCCATTGTTTTCCGAACGAAATCCATGAGCCGCGGACGAAGTGGAAGACGCGGGCCGAAGGCGCGACCGGCCGCCGCACGAAACCAGGCCGAGAAGGAACACAGCAGCACGATGCGCCTGGCCCCCGCATCGCCGGCGCCACTGGTGAAGCGAATCGCGCAGTCGATTCTCAGGCAGCGCGCGGCACGCGGCGCGACACAGCGCCCCGACGCCGAGCGCCAACCAGGACGGGGTAGCAGGACCACCCAGCGAGCGAAGCTGAGCCCTGGCCGCCACATTGAATGAGCCGATTGGGCCACGAAAAATCCGCGAAGGCGCCGCGAGATCGCCCACCGCCATGCGCGCCGGCATCCTCCTGAACTGCGCGACGTGGCCGAGGCCAGGGACCACTCGCGTTGTAAATTGTTTTGCAAGCCTGGCCACAGAGAGGTCGCTGCTGTCCAGGAGCTCAGAGCGGGCGGCAACCTCGATCAGCGGGCCAGACCAGCAGGAGAGGTCGCCCGCAGCAGGACCGAGCACCAAACCAATACACGCGAGGCCGCCCCCAAAAAAGTGCAACTTCGCGGGTAGCGTCTCTGACTTTCAAGGAATCCTCCTGCGAGAACTCGGCAAGCAGCGGGACAATCATGCATTTGCGGGCCTGGAGCTCCAACGTAGCCCTCTCCGCAGCCCATTTCACGACGCCCGCTACGACACCAGTACGCAGCAATGCTGCGATGACGGAGCCGATGTCGTCGGCACAAGATCTGGCAGACCCGTGCCTCGGGAGCTCGAGCCGGTGGTTGAGGTCCACCACGAACAGCGCCGTCGCCGCCACGTGGGGAGACCGCGCTGGGGAGGGGGGGCCGTTGGCGAGGGCGCCCAGACCAGGCTCGGAGCGGCGCGCGCTGCCGGCAACACGTCGAATTAGACGCGCGGAAAGAGGGGTGCAACACCGCTGATGTCCATCTGGCAGACATCATCGCACACGCACCCCTGGGCCTTAGCGATCTCAGTGGGCCCCTCCGCGAAAACGGGCGCCCAAAAGATTGTCAGGGTGTCGTCCATGCTCGACCGCTCTGCTTCCAGCTCCAAGATCCTGGGTCGTTCACTATTTTGAATCTCATCCACCGAGAAAGAAGTGACCAGATAGCGGCCTTTCGATCAAACGTTTGGAGCTGGCGGCGCACCTGCGGCGGGCGACGCGCTTGCCTGAGCCGTCGCTCAAGTTGCCGTCGCGCAAGCCCCGCATTCCGAACACGCACGGCATCGGATCGCAGCTGAAGGGACGGCGATGAATGCAATAGTTGAGCGCTACCAAAACTTACATCCAAGGAATATCATATCTTGCAGTCTGGTGTTCGAGACGCAGTTTTAGTGCAAACTTGAAGACCGCTGTCTCAAACAGCACGCGCAATCGTTCGCGCTAAGATCAGCTGCGCACCAGGCTCCTCGGGAGCATCGCGAAAGGGGCGGTATCGTACATCCCTGGCGACTTCCAGCATGGCTCATATGTGGAGTTCCACGTGCCTCGGTGGCGACCTCGACGCAGTCCAACTGCGTAGTGACCTTGCGCAGTGCAGTCGAGAAGGTAACTGGCTCGAATATGCGTCGCGAAACAACGCGCCGTCGCTGCCTGTGCGCACGTCTTTACCGAAAGCAAACCATCTGCGCGACATGACCGCCGACCCGTCTGTCTGTCAAAGCGGGGCCCCCACCACTGCCAGCAGGAAAATAAATTCACGAAAAGCCAAATCAAATAAACAGGTACAAAATCTGCCCAGGACCGAAACAGCGTGAACATGATTGCCGTAGTGCGAAGGCTTGCCCGGCGAAGTCTCCGTGAGATCCCCCCAGATTGCGACGCCTTCTCGGCACGTAAGCGTGCTACCCACAACACTCCCCAGCAGCACGGTCACGAAGATACAGGAGAAGACGGGATGGACGACCAGGACCACATTCGAAGGATTGTCAACAGCAGCAGCATGATCCACGGAGATGGACTTGGCGACCGATTCTGGCTCCGTTGACGTCACGTCGCGGTTGTGCATACTGCAATGGGAAAGCAGACAGACAAACAAACAAACAAACAAACAAACAACAACGAAACTATTCCTACCAGTGCTGTTGAAAAGAACGACCGTCAGCGGAAGGCGCGCAATGGTCGCCAACACTTCGCCCCAGTCGCACATGGCGACGCGCGTCGCCCCCATAGGGCGGGCGCGGTCGCCTCGCAGATGGCGCCTCGTTGCCCTCGCGCGTCGACAACCTGGCTGCCGGAGCGGCCCGCGGCAGTCCGAGGGGGCAGCCCGCCGCGAGCGCGCGCCCCCCCCCAAGAAGCAGAGCTGACTGGGACAAGCGGCGACGAGGGGCCTGGGCTCAGCTCTACATTCTGGGGGAGAGGGGGGGGAATGCAGGACGCATGGGCATCGCCCGAATGATGGTGATGATGATGATGCTGATGATGGTGGTGATGATGATGATGATGATGGATGATGATGATGATGCTGCTGCTGATGATGATGGTGGTGGTG